AATACTCTTGAATTGGGTGATTATCTAACAATTATTTTTATGAATATCCTTAAATTGGGTGTTTATATAACAAAATTGTTTTTTTTATGAATGCTCTTGTATTAGGTGGGTATGTAACAACGCTGTTGTCTGTTATAAATACTGTGTATTGGGTGGTTATGTAACAATTGTGTTTTCTGTTACGTATACTGTATATTGGGTGATGGTTTAACAAAACAATGGCTTTCTAGGAACATTATTCTATTGGTTTGTTGTCTTACAAAACAGATATTTATTGTGAATATTGTTTTTATTGGGTGGTTATCTAATGAAAATGTTGCCTATTATTATCACTTTTGCTCGTTACGCTGAAAACTGCCGAAGCATTAGAAATGAATAGATCTAAAAGCTTTCATAAAAATCACATAACTTGCAGATATTTTTCCACTTTGGATTCAAAGTCAGAGGTCAAAAGTCGCTGTCCAGAAGCCGTTATTTTATTTCCATTGTTTTGTTGCTTACAACTAGAGAAAAAAATAAAATATTTTGTAAACGTTTATATAAAGTGTTTAAAATTAAAAGTTTAACACATTACATGTTTTCTCTTTATCATCAGTAAGTTATGTTAGTTATTTATATATGCTACAATTTTTATGTGTGTTCATGTGAAAATGTCATACATAAATAAGTATTTCGATTCATTTTTTTCTTTGTATTTCACTTCCAAATATAGTTAATTGTTATTATCATTATTTTTTATCTTAGAAAACGCAGAATCGATTAAATCAACCGACATGAATCTATTACCGATAGCAGAAACAAAATATTCAGCTTCTAGGCCTGTGAAAAGATTCGAAAACGTTTCTCCAATCTTTTTCACTGATTTACTACAAGCCCTAGCGGAAGCAAGTAAAAGAAACCATCAAAGGGTTAATTTCGGAAGGCGAGCAACAGAGAATTCAGGTCATCAGCTTCTTCACTTTGGAAAACGGGATGGGTCAAGATACTTTGGTCAAGACCTAACCGATACTACCAGTACCAATAATTACGTAAAAAGAGATCAAGCGTCTGACCACATTGGTCTTTCGAAAAACCCACGTTATGAGCCTGGACTTATTCTCCATTTTCTCCTTGATCAGGTCGAAAATTTTCCATACCAGCGACTTACTCGTGAGGGTCTGAAACGAAGTAATGATCACAATATCATGTCGTTTGGTAAGAGGTCGGGTCAAAAAAACAATCCGTTTTCTCCTGTGTTAGAAGTTTTAGGAGATCGTCTCATAAGCAGCCCAAATACTGATTTAAAGTCTTTCATCAAACGTACAAATGACCACAACATCATGTCTTTCGGAAAACGCTTTCCAGAAGATTACGGAACGAGAGAGGATAGCAAACATAACGGACACAAAACTTTATATTTTGGTAAGAAGTCAGAAGAAAATCGAGGAAATGGACACACCATTCTGTATTTTGGGAAAAAGTCTGACGATGCGAATAATGATGGAGATAATAAAATGTTTTCATTTGGCAAAAAAGCAGGAGCAGAGGAAAAAAGTGGTGGTCACAGGATACTTTACTTTGGCAAGAGGCCCTCTGTAGAAGAACCAGCTAAAGGACATCAGTTTATGTATTTTGGTAAACGATTTCTAAACGACGTATTTTTTCATCCAGATGGACTTACAACTATGAAAGATTTAGCATCTCCCACGGAACAGGATCAGTTTGAGAAGAAAGCGCACTCTATTATTCATTTCGGGAAACGTCCAGTAAGTTCCATAATACTTCCTAGAAGCGGTAAAATCGCTAATGAACCCGAAACGAATGACGAAAATTCTTCTCTTTACCAACCTTTAGAACTATTCCTGGCTGATGATGTAAACGACAAAAAAGCTGTAGTTTTCCAGGATCATGCTGGAGAGAAAGAACATCGTCAGAAAAGGGGCGCTAACCCTACTGAAATTTCAAACCAACTTTTATTGAATAGATTTTCCCCCATACCCTTCCCTTTCTATGTTTCTCATTCTTTTGCTCTACCTTCTGATAGTTCTGTGGAAGCTGATCTGGTGGAAGATAGGTTTCCGGAAAACTATCCAAGTTTGTTGGCAAGTCCAGAGAGTTACTACCATAGACAAGATCGAGATTTCCGAATCCCCACGCAGAGAGAAATCAACAAAAATATGTTTCTTCACTTTGGTTGAAACAAAGGCTATATTGAAGACAATATGTTTCTACGTTATGTCATAAGGTATATCTGGAAAAGTATTACACAAATGTATGTTGGTTAAAGTGCTAAAATTATCTATAGAAACTTTGAACTACACATTAATTTCTCTCTTACATACCTCTATCTATAATTGTCTCATCTTTAGAAAACATTAGAAATTTATATGTACACAACTGTAAACATATGTGTGAAATAAGAGCATGTTAAAATATTTATCAGAACTTCTCTAGTCAGCTCTGTTTTGTTGTTGAAAATCGTATGAAATAAAAACAACATTTAAATGTGACTTTAGATTTTGAACTTGATGTGATGCGTCAGTTGGGCCAAGATTTAATAATTTTCTTCTATTGTACGACATACTTCTACATATAAAATACGTATAATACTTTGTACATTAAACTAGGCTCTAATACCACTCGTAGCTAGCAGCTACTTTGGATAAATCCACAGATAATACCAACAGAAACAGTTCCAAAAGCATCATTGATAAAGTTAGTAAAATTAACAGATTTTCTTCGTTTCAAACCATCGATAATTCAATGAAGAAGCGGATCAGTTTTTGTTAATCTTCGAGGACATTCTACTGTGTATTCTGAGATGTTCATTTCTCGAGATATTTGGTATTCAGGTACATTGATATCCGTCGGGTAAATACAAATATGCAGAAAATAATTTTGAACAATGAAAAGAAAGGAAATGACAATTTAACAAAAAAATAATTTTTTATTCACATTAAAAGTGTGAACCTTAACTTACTGGCCTGTTTCTAGTTCAATATACCACTACAACTGGCTTCTGGAATGAAGAACCTATGATTTCCTCATCCGCATGAGACAAAGACAGGAATAAGAAAAATAGACTGAGACCCAGAAACGTGAAAATACTTCTCTATTATTTGAGACTGGGGTTCTAGTGCGGTGTCCCATAATTATTACATTACCTGAGTTAAAGATCATTCCAAATATATATGTACATAAAGGAGAAAAATACCCAAGCCACTTTAACTTGTATAAACCTTCGTATCGTCCCTTAGGTGAGCATAACTTCACTTCACGGGCGAACGCAGAAAAAGGGCCTAGTAGGTATAAGCTCTATAGGATGGTCACTCTAATATGTAACCTGTACCTAATGTTTATCGGGATGATGCTAATTACACGCAGAGAAAACTTTACAAAACATAAAGGGAATATAGCTGAACAAAGATATTTCCTCACTAGTTACGCAAGGGTAAAATATGATGATAGTAATATCATTACAGATAATAGCGACGTAAACGCTGAAACAAGTAACACATCGGGTTCAGGATTTTACATCATATATGATAACATTCTAAACTATTCTTGACTTTTTTCTTTACTCTGCACATAGGCGTGATTTTCACGTCGGGGGACATGTCCCCACCACTTTTTTTCAAGAATAAAATAGTTTTTTGGCAGAATAAACCAGCTACAGAAACTGTCTCCCCCTTTATGTTTAAAGTCAAAGCAACACCCCACTTAATCTGTACAGTGGTTTGAAAATTTTTGAAATAGTTTAAGATTTTTATCTATTTCTAAAATTTTCAATTAAACATTTTTTTTTACCCATAAAATCCTGCTTAAAATCGGTTAACTTTTATCTTTTGCAGACAAGTTTGTTTGTAATTAAGCACAAAGCTACACAGTGGGCTAACTGTGATTCGCCCACCACGAGTATCGAAACCCAGATTTTAGCGGTGTGAGCCCTCAAACTTTGGATTTATATGTATGTATATTTCGTCACCATTATCAGTGCTTAAAGTACTTGGACAAGAGAGTGGGAGGGTCCGAAAGACAAACACGTTTTTATTTTTCAGTGTGGCCCAGCATGGCCAGGTGGTTAAGGCACTTGACTCGCAATCTGAGGGTCGCGGGTTCGAATCTCTGTCACACCAAACATGATCGCCCTTTCAGCCGTGAGGGCGTTATAATGTGACGGTCAATCCCACTATTCGTTGGTAAAAAGAGTAGCCCAAGAGTTGGCGGTAGGTGGTGATGACTAGCTGCCTTCCCTCTAGTCTTACACAGCTAAATTAGGGACGGATAGCCTTCGTGTAGCTTAGCGCGAAATTCAAAAACAGACATTTTTCAGTGTGGGGACAATAAAAGCATTTACTTATCGGATACACAAAACATTTTGACTGCTTGAAGTAAAAGAGTACTAAGAAACATGCTAAATTACATTAGGCTAAAAAGTGGACAAAAAAGTCACAAATCCGGTCGAAAACTTTATTTTAGAAAACGTAAAAAGGAAACTATGATTTGACTCGCAAACATTTAGGAATTGAAGATATCATGTTCTACGGTTTTACAAAAAATAATAATAATAATTTCAGATCACATATTAACGGTTTATTGTCTGACTGAATGTCCACCAAGTGGCACAGCGGTATGTCTGCAGACTTACAATGTTAGAAACCGGGTTTCGATACCCGTAGTGGGCAGAGCGCAGATAACCCGTTGTGTAGCTTTGTGCTTAATTTCCAACAAACAAACTGGCGGAATGAGTTGTGTAAGAAATTTAGTTTCTCAATTATTTGAGCTTGAACATCTCTGAAACTTTCACATTAATTAATTGTATGAATCTGAATCAAATAATGATTGATTCTGCGCCATTTCTGGGATCGAATATATTCTCTTTATCTGATTATAAATAGCCCTTAAAAACGGGTTTAGATACCCGTGGTGTTCACAGTAGAGGTAGCCCATTGTGTAGCTTAACAACAAACAAATAAATAGTATACCTTAAATTCTACAAAGCTAATTCTGTAATTTTTCTACAAAGGTATTTGTAAAAATTGTATTTTACACAACATTTATAATCAGTCACCTCGTCTTGCATTTACTTGATCGTTGTTTCTGACTGAATGGCGAAGCTTTTTATTTTATTGTAAAAGTGACGACGGTCAGATCTCTAGGATGAATGAAGTCCTCTGAAATCTAATATGACTAATTACATTAGCAATACAACGCCTTTCTTCTTTCTTTGAACGCAAAAAAGTAAGCTAAAATTCACTAGGTTAAAGATAACTGGAAGATATTTATGACTTTATGTTTGTGTCATTAAGACAACTTATATATCTAGTCAAATACTGTAAAAAATGTCATAAAAGTTGAGGTGTAGGAAACGTTCAAAGCTATATAACAAAATAATGTACTCTTGGATGTTCTCATAATCACTTCAGAAACGAATCTCTGATAATTTACCAAGTGATCAACGTTTTGTTATTTTGCTTGATAAGAATTTCGTTAATTACTTGGAATTCTTGGACGTCGTTTTATCATCAAGTACGAATTAAAACACACTCCCTCTAAAAAAAAACTTTATTACTTTTTGTACGTGCACTGAATGTACCGAAATATGTCCATGTAATATGACTTCTGAAATATGTCCAAGTAATATGACTTCTGAAATATGTCCATGCAATATGACTTCTGAAATATGTCCATGTAATATGTCTTCTCAAATATGTCCACGTAATATGACTTCTGAAATATGTCCATATAACATGACTTCTGAAATATATCCATGTAATATGAATTCTGAAATATGTCCATATAACATGACTTCTGAAATATGTCCATATAACATGACTTCTGAAACATGTCCATGTAATATGTCTTCTTAAATATGTCCATGTAATATGACTTCTGAAATATGTCCATGTAATATGACTTCTGAAATATGTCCGCGTAATATGACTTCTCAAATATGTCCATATAACATGACTTCTGAAATATGTCCATATAACATGACTTCTGAAACATGTTCATGTAATATATCTTCTTAAATATGTCCATGTAATATGACTTCTGAAATATTTCCATGTAATATGACTTCTGAAATATGTCCATGTAATATGACTTCTGAAATATGTCCATGTAATATGACTTCTGAAATATATCCAAGTAATATTATTTCTGAAATATGTCCATATAACATGACTTATGAAATATGTCCAAGTAATATGACTTCTGAAATATGTCCAAATTTCAGAAGTCATGTTACATTGACGTATTTCAGAAGTCATATTACGTGGACATATTTCAGAAGTCATATTACATGGACATATTTCAGAAATAATATTACTTGGATATATTTCAGAAGTCATATTACATGGACATATTTGAGAAGTCATATTACATGTCCATGTAATATGACTTCTGAAATATGTCCAAGTAATATGACTTCTGAAATATGTCCATGTAATATGACTTCTCAAATATGTCCATGCAATATGACGTCTGAAATATGTCCACGTAATATGACTTCTGAAATATGTTCCCGTAATATGACTTCTGAAATATGTCCACGTAATATGACTTCTGAAATATGTCCATGTAATATTACTTCTGAAATATGTCCATGTAATATGACTTCTGAAATATGTCCAAGTAATATGACTTCTCAGTCTTTGTGAATTATTAATTATAATTAATTCATTTATTTTGTCTGTTTTTTGTTAAGCACGAAGCTACACAATGGATTATCTGTGTTCTGCCCACCGCGGGTATCGAAACTAGCCACCGAGGAGTAATAGAATTAATAACACTTCAGTCTAGTTTATATTATGTGGAACATTCTGCTCCAGGATGACAATTGTTGTTTATTGTAACCTTTCAAGTAAAACAAATAAATTCTTCAAACGATATCCAGTTGAATATATATCTATATATGTATGAATCAACCAGTAGGCTGCTATTTACTCAGCAGAACACGACCAGAACTAATTAAATGAACTTGAAAGACGAATTTGCCATTATAATCCTTTTCCTCCATTCATGAATTACGTACAATACTAATGACTGAATTGAGTAGAATCTACAGAATGTCTTCTAACTCCTTAAATACTCTATGCTATGTTATATCAGAGTTGTTATTCAGGCAAAGAATGACCCAACTCGTTATTGGATATATAGTTTCTAAAAAAGCGGCCAGCCAGTGTCTGTATATATATATATATATACATATATATGTATGTGCGTGTATGTGTGTGTCTATATATATATATATACTTATTTATTTATTTATAAAAGGTTCTAAGACCAATATCGGTCATTCAGCAAAAAATATAATAACTATATAAAGTTGACCAGAAACCAATCTTTTCTAGTTCTGACTGAATCAAAATGAATTGCGACCGTGTCATCATCTCTAAAGTACTATGAAATATAAAAGAATTTCGGTTTGTGGCTGTTTCAACCACAAATTTTGACCACTGCATTCTGTAGGGAGTAAGATTTTTTT